GGTTCGAGATTACTAGTAGCCCAATATTTCATTGCACAACAGTTGCTGGGAGGCTGTCACAGGCTCTTTAAGCGTCCTTGATCACTCAAAATATGTTATGTTCACCTGTTACTGTATGCACATAACATGACATTTTTTCTATAGACATCTTTATGTATTTCATATGCATTTATTTAAATAATGCTGAAGTTAAAACATTTTTATACTTTTGATAACATTTCCATCCAAAAAATGTGTTCATTTAATTTGCATAGGCCTACTCCATTTTTACCATTGTTGCTATGGACGCTGCTAACGCCAATATAGCTTCCATGTTGTTTTAATCTTCTTTTTTTGCTTCGTGTCACCCCATTTCTCAACAGAAAAACACTGAGGAGTGATGATAGCAAAACAATGGGAACATGTTTTATTAACCTTTCCTTTGGTTAGGCTACTAGGAAATACTTTATTTGTCGGTTAGGGATAGCGGAAAACATCCAACCGCTCTGCAAAACCCATAGCTGCCGAACCGCAATTTTTTTTAGAACTCATTACGTGTATGTGCCCTCAAACAACATCTTTGCATTTCATTACGAAATATCATAAGTAAGTATTCTAATGACTAGTTCGGCTGTAGTATATATCATATAAAGTCATTTTACGATCCTAACTTTTACCATCCTACAACTCTTTTGCAAACCGGAAGTACTACAACAAAACACATTTTCATAATAGGCCCACACAGGGTTGGGTTGTAACGGAATACATATAACAGCGTTATGTAGTCAGAATACAAAAATCAAGTAGCCTAACTGTATTCAGCTCGCGTTACATTTGAAAAAACGAGTAATCTGATTACAGTTACTTTCGTAAACCTGAAGTGAATACATTTTGGATTACTTATTGGAATTATTGGTTGAAAGATTTCCTCACAACATTTAATATTCATTACTAAAGGTACTTCATATCATTCATATGGAGTGGGGCCAGACTAATGTGGAAGAGCAAATGAAATGGCAGGAGAGAAGGCGACACGCCCGTTCTAAGCCGTGTCCCTCACTCCTCACATCCCAAGCTGCATCTCCAAAGAGTTTATTATGTTGTTACATCGTTTCAGATGTGATGTTTCAGTTGTGCTCTTGATACGCCATTAAAACAGTAAAACACGTTCAGTTTCCTTTTGCTTTTTGTGTCTCCTGTAGGCTACACCAAAACATACCCATCTGTGATGGAAAAAGAAAGTAATCCAAAAGTAATCTAAGAGTAATCTGAATGCGTTACTTTTTTAAGACACGTAACTGTAACTGTATTCAGATTACTTTCAGAGCCATGTATTCAGTAATCAATAACTGATTACATTTACAAAGTAACCCTCCCAACCCTGTGTACATATACATATATGTGTACTTTATAACATTAGTACACAGGACCTACAGACCCTTAGTGCATACAGCAGCTCATACATACGTATACATGTAGGCTACTGTAAACAGAGGTGGAGTGTACTCAGTACTGAACTGGAGTACAATGTTCAGGTACTTTAGTTTACTCTCTCTGATACTGAATACTCTCCTGTACTGTATACCATTTGTTGTGTACTATATTTTCCCATATTTAACAATGCCAAACCTTTTGGTTACACACCCAGGATAGCTGAGGTCAAGAGCTCTCTATAACAGTTGGCCCCATGCCTGTACTCCCTTTTGTTGCTGAATTATTGGCCTTCAAACATGTACTGAGGTCAAGGTTTAAAGGTCCATTTTTCAAAGCAGGAGGCATGGACAACCTTCATACTGACATATGCCACTCTGCAGATCAAGGCCTTTCCAATTATGTATTTGGCTTTGCCCTAACACAAAGTTTTAATTTTCTCATTTCATGGGCAGATGCCAAGGTGTAGTTTTGCAGAGCGCTTTGAAGGCCCAATACCAACACAAATCTAATTAACCTTTTTTTTAAAAACTTTTTCTATGAAGATAGTTACAAGAACTGGGGTGTTTGATCCCAAAAAATAATAATAGAAAGGAAATTAACAAGGTAATATTACAATACAATTCAAGTTCAAAAGGATATTTACATAATGGACTAGTTAATGTACTAGTTGAGAATAGTTACATCTATCAATCAATCAAATGGTATTTATATAGCTCATGTAAATATACATTTGTGTCAGGGGGCTTTACAGTTTGTATAGAATATTACACCCTTGTCCTTAGACCCTCACATCATACAAGGAAAAACTCCCAAAGATGAATGTCCTCTCCCAGGACGGACAGGCTAGCAACAGGTGTCAAATGTGTATACAATACATTCAAAATACATTTGCATCATAGACAGTCCTGATGTCAACAAATGTAATATATACATATATAATAAAGTTATATATAAATTAGGTATTTATTTAAGAACATGTTCCCTATTTTAAAGTGAAGTCTTGTTCATAACCAATAAGCTAGTAGTTTGACTCTAATTGACCTGATCAGGTTCCCTATTCTAAAGTTGCCTCCTCTTCACACTTTGTAAATACATTATTGCACACAAATACTGAAATTAACCTCAACAGCACATGAACAAAGTAGGCACATGTTCAAATATCTGTTCTGAGGTTCAGAAACACATACCAAAACATGTCAAGTTTCTCCAAGGCTGAGAACACATCGGCCTATGCCAGGGGTCGGCAACCCACGGCCCTCGAGCCGCATGCGGCCCTTTAAGCCCTCTGCTCTGGCTCCACAGAGTTTAGACAAAAATAAGAAGGAAATAAAATAAAAGTATTTGTAAGACTATTTATATTTTCTTGCATGGTTGAAAATGTTTCGTATCTTGTATTTTGAGGTGATACTGTGACAAATAAATAAAAAACAAAACGGTTTTAATTAGGTCAACTAAAATATGCGTCACATCCTGCTACGGTCACGCGCTAGCGCCTTTTCTTGCAGGCGAATAACCTGACCCCCGGCTCGATGAGCGAACTATGGACAAATCAAAGAAAAGTACCGGAGGAACACAGGATTTCATTCTGCGTGGACAGAGTTATCTGCTTTCACAGCAAACGATGCTGGTTTACCGGTATGTTTGATATGTAGAGAGAAGTTGTCAAAGGTGCTGCAGCCTTTACGTATCGAGGAGAGGAAGACAGCTGACGATCTTCAGTCATAATTCAATGGGGTATGTAATTTATTTCAGAAAACACTTTTTGTTATATTCCATGGAATGCTCTTAACGTCCCGATAGCAATGAATATATTAAATGCTTTGACAATAAATACATTAAAAAAATGTATCTCTGGAAGCCGTAGCGCTGTAAAAAGCACGACCAATCATTTTAGCCGACCCGGCTAAAATAACTGGAGCTGGTTTCTCCATTCTTACCTACCCTACCTTTAACTCTTTTTAGGGTGCAGCTATATGTTTTATTTATTTCAAAGTGGGCCCATTTTAATTATATATTTTTTTCTTCAAATGTGCAGAGGACTCCCCAAGTGCTGTGTTTAATTTATTTTGTAGTAGGCCTGTGTATTATTTTAAATTCTCCTTATAGGAGTTATTTGTTTCTTATTAGAGGTTAACCGTTTTATATCATGTAATAAATAGCCTAATAAATGCAAAAACACTGTAGTTTTTGTCTGATATAACAATAAATACAAGCTATCAATCTATGAAATATGTTTTGCGGCTCCAGACAAACATTTTTTTTTTTTTAAAGGAGCAAAATGGCTCTTTTGGTCAAAAAGGTTGCAGACCCTGTAGAATGATCGAGGGTCGAGTATCTTTCACGACTCAGGTTTATTGTACAGTAAATCAAGACATTACAGTAGGCAGCTACAACACAACTCGCGGGCTTACTCTGAAGTAAAGCAATCCCTCGCATGCCGTAAAGCATGTCGCAACACTGTCATAACAGCCTTAACTCTGTATGCATTGTATGCATATGTGATATCTCCCCTTTTTCCTAGTTATTTAATTTTAAATAACTGTAAAGAGTTTTGACAGATTAGTCACAGCATCATCCTGTAATAGTAAACAACAGTCAAACTTTGATAGCAAATATTCATTCAGTCGTACTGACAACCAAAAATGTAATATGAATACAGATTAACTTAATGTTGATAAAGATGGGTAACCAATACCTTCAGTAGTGCTGTTATAAAATAAAATTCAAGATGCAAGTTTTATTTTCTAAACATTGCAGCAGTAATATCACATGTGTGCATAACATTCACAATAAACAGAACCCAAAATTCAGCAGACTCAGAGTCCACCTGTGTTTCCCTATTCATTTTCTCCCCCCCAAAGGCCATAGGTGTTTTTTTTCATTCACCCCCAGAGGTCATTGTGAAACACCCAAAACACTCCTGTCTACAAGTCCAACCTAGTGGCCGGCTTACTGACACGGCCAGACCTGGTCTGAACACGTCCTGGTGTTGGTGTATAATCGAAAAGATAGGATTAATTACGTAAAATTATGCGCACCTGGACGCGCTGGCGCACCACCGACTCCGCCAGCGCGTAAGCACATATTATATACTTAAGTATTTTCACATGTTGCCATTTTATACTTTTTACTCAATACATTTCTTTTTACAGACTAGTTACTGGTCTCTTTGCAGATTTAGTTTTAAATTAATATATGTTATTATAGGTTAAGTTAGCCAGCCCAGTGTGTGTATAAAACAATTCAAATAAACCCCACCTTTACCAAGTCCAACATTGAAGTTATGAACATATCAATACATGAATAATTACAATATCAATCAATCAATCAATGTTTATTTGTATAGCCCAATATCACAAATGTTACATTTGTCTCGGTGGACTTCACAGTTTGTACAGAATATCAGTATGACAATACAATTATAAACAATATGGTGCTTATTTGTGTCATTCTGTATGGAGGAGTACTTTTACTTTTGGTATTAAAAGTATATTTTGATGCAGAGTATTTGTATTTGTTTACTTCAGTAAATCATCTGATTTATTTGTCCTAACCCTAACCCTGCTACATTCTTCATTTTTTATTACCTCTATCGGGATTATTGCATCGCGCCAATCTTGAGTCAGGTTTTCCTCAGGAATCAGGCAGTGGTGTCTGGGAATGTCTGTCAGAAAGACAACAGAGAAAACGCCAACTCCATTGGGCACGATGCTGGCACAGAGCAGGAAGAAGACAACCTGCTGGAAACGTCCCCACTGACCCAGAAAAGCAGTGGACTCATCGTAATCCTTCATAGCCTGAGTATTAACTGTCTCCTCCCAAGCTTGCAGACAAATTCCTTTTCCAACTCAACAGAATGAAGACATACAGTTTGCAGTCTCTTAAACTGTGAGATAGCCACACCCTTTACAACCATGCATACACATCAAAAACCACAGTGTACATTGTACTCTATAAGAGTACATTTAACACCAGTCTCGGGGTGTATATAGGTCCAAGAGTTTGGTGTTCTCTGAACACTGTCAAAAGTGTAAAATATAAACTCCAAATAAAGAGTTAGATTTGAACACTTTGGGAGTCAAAATATACTCTACACTGCAAAAATCACAGTGTAAAACATGGGAAAATAAACGGGGTGCTCTCTTTTCCTCTCCCTCTCCTGACAGCCCGTCAGTCTCGTGCAGCTCGCTGAACCTGTAATAAGTGACCCGACAGTAAAGAACACACATATTTCTTATAACTAGTTAAGCTAGTTCCAGAGTAGATGAAATAGCTAAGTGTGTTAGGTCTAACTCAGTGCTTCTCAAAGTGTGGTCCGCGGACCACTGGTGGTCCGTGAGTGCCCCCTAGTGGTCCGTGAGTATATTGGTAAAATTTCACATTTGAAATAAATAAATACATTTAAGTTTTCCGCACTCTCGCGGGAATATCTCCACAATGGAGCAAGGTTCAGTTTCATTTTCAATTGCATGATATAGCCCAGCGCAACACCTTCATCACACATGTTGCCACTTGTTTGTACCATTTTCAGGCGATTTGTAATCTGTTCTAGAAAAACGATGTGTTTTTTTATATTTGTGGAGTTAGGTGGTCCACGAGTGTTTTTTTATTGGTTAAGTGGTCCTTGGTATGAAAAAGTTTGAGAAACCCTGGTCCAACTGTATTTTGCTCCACTCAACGGTCCGTCACAGCGGTGGAGCTTTGATCCGGAAGAGCTGCGTGTTCTCCGTCAGCAGCAGCTGATCTGATCTCTGATCTCTCTCTCCTCCGGTTATACTCCACTCGCATTTATGTCCAAATCTATCAGATCTCGCAAGTTCTAGTTAATGATATGACTGCCTGCTTATCAAAGGACCTAAACAATAAGCGTTGTTTGGCAACGGCTTGTGGCTGCAAAGTATAGCGCAGCATTATGCACATGTTTTAATGAGGGGTCAAAATCCCATGCTCATAAAATGCTCATATCTTTTTCTCTTCATTCCTCACGCCCCAAAATAAATAAATATACACATTTTAGGAAAAGTAACGAAGTTTGAGCAGTGTGGGTTTTATATTGACAGAGTTACACATAGTTTCAAAACGCGAAGTGTAATAACTGCAGTAACCTCCCTGTCAGAATGACAAAGCTCCTCAGTGAAGCACAAGCCCATGTTTCTCACTACATTGTACAACTTATTAAAAAGATCAGTTCAATGCAACTAATGTCGTCTTAGTGTCATTGCATGATATTAAAATTGGTTTGCCATGAATGTTGTGATGGATTGTAAACATTTGAAAGGTAGCATTTAAGTGTTTCTCAATTACAAGGTTGTTGTGAAATTATGAATAAAGAATGCTGGTGTATACAAGTCTGGCCTAAATCTTCTGTCAGAAAGATTGCAGCAATCCAGGGGGTGTAGATATCCACATTTTAATTGTTCACAGGAGTTATGGTGTTACAGGATGTTCGTTTGTTATGTTGTGGTTATCTAAGAAATATAAATAAACAGAGTAGATCAAATTAGTGAATGACAATATTAATCCGAATAGTTACATTACGATTTCCTGCTAGGAACAGTACATACATGTACATAAATGCTGGAACAGTCAGATTCATGGTAAGCAATACCAGAAATGCCGGCAAGAGGGCTCACTTGACCGCAACAAGTGCAAGTGTTTTAACACGTGATAATGGCGGCTTACAGGGGGATAACATTGTACATGCGGTAATGGCGGCTGACAGAGGCATACAGTTATACACAGCTCACCGCAATAGCACAAAACTGGAAATATATGGCGATCGAACATACCAAAAATAATTATATCGACAGTCACAGCGGACAGAAAGCTAAATTACTGAACATTTAACAGGCAGCCAGTCACACTTACGGCAAACAAGTACTGTAAACAATATATACACACTACGCCGATTATTGTCTGTAAACCGTTATTTAAATGCAAACATTGATACAAACAGGTGCCTATGCCACAGTAACAATACTTACAGTTTCATAAACGCACAACGTGGAACACACAACGACCCGTTCACTTGCTGAAAGTCTGTTTATAACCGGTCGCGCGCTGCGCGTGACTAATGACGTTACAGTGTGAGGGGTGCGTCCGGTAACTATCTCTGGACTGCCTGGGGGGTGTCCCAAAGCAGGGAAGTTTGCACAGTTGTTGTTTTAATAAATCAGACACCGATGGTGCAGCAGCACTGTACCTCTTTATATAGGCATCTTTTCCCTAACAAATAGTTTTTGCGCTGATCAGGGAGTACTTGGCTGAAAAAAAATTCCGAAGGGGGTACATTATTGAAAAAAGTTAGAGAACCACTGCTCTATAAGAGTACATTTAACACCAGTTTCGGGGTGTATATAGGTCCAAGAGTTTGGTGTTCTCTGAACACTGTCAAAAGAGTAAAATATAAACTCCAAATAAAGAGTTAGATTCGAACACTTTGGGAGTCAAAATATATACTATAACTTTTTTGACACTGTTTGAGTGCTTTCCAACACGTGCAATGTAAACCTAGAACCCTCAGAGAGTTAAAATGTACTCTTAGTCAGTCTTTTAGTGTCACTGTGCAGAGCTGATTATTCAACACTTTGAGAGAGAAAATGTACTCCATGGTCATTTTTCACACTGTTTCAGTGCTGTTTAGCTGATGTACTACAAACAAAAAATGTTGGGGTGAATCATTAACACTTCAGGAAATAAAGTACACATCAGATTCTTGAAAACATGCGTTTATTTAAAAAAATGTGATTTTGATGTGTTTTAAATATAACATCTAATCAGTAGCAACATCAAACAACCCACAAAATACATTGGTCATAGGTGAAAATGTGTGTACATTTGCTCATTAGGCCTCTTTAGGCTGGGGAAACACTTTAGAGGTCATCATTCCAAAATACTGTTACAACAAATGGACAACGTGGAATACCATACCCTAGTGCTAATGTGCAAAGTAAACTGACAAAAAATATTGTTTTGAAAGACTAACAATCACCGAGCAGGATGATCAACATCTAAAAGTGTACATGGCAACCAGTTTACATCAATGTTGTAGATGGTGGTCTGCAAAAATGTGTACATGCCGTTTAAGGCCTGGTCATAGGAGATCCCAAACACATAATGTGCTTTAAAAAGTTCATCAAAACTGACAGGGAAGACTTGGCCTTGCAGGGAAGGAGCTCATCCAACACAATGTAGTACTCATGGAGCTCTTTCTTGTGGTACCAACTGCTAGGATGTAGGGTTGCCTCCACTGGACCAGAGTACTCCTGAAGGCTGGAGATGACTGTAAGATAACAATAAACACAAATCATATTTTGATGGATGGGTCAGACACTGACAAAAACCTTTGATAGCAAATCAGATCAGCTCGGCCATTACCATGAACAGAAGTCAAATGCAACATACACATTAATGCAGCAGTAATATAAAACCTAAAAGCATCCCAAAAATAGTAAAACACTGACAGGAACAATTTCACTGCGCAATTTCAGTGCTTTTACTGATACTTAAAGTACATTTAGCTGATTATACTCGCATACTTTTACTTAAGTCAGGTTTTAAGTGCAGGCCTTTTACGTCACAGGGTGGTATTTTTACTTAACTTAAATCATATGAAACTTCCTCCACAACTGGAATTGGTATATTGCACATGTACAGTACCAAATGTAGTGCGAAGAGTTAGACTTAACTGTTAACAGCATTATATCAGGCGGGAGGCGAGAGCTTCGAAATCATTCAATCTACATGAGTAACGTAAATTGGCGGTAGCTAAGCTAACGTTAACGGTCTCATTATTTCAAACGGTGCCTGCAGACTAGGGTTGCCAACTTCCAGAAATGGAAAAACGGGGGACACACTGTAAAACATCACAGCCCCATTTAGTTATGTCAAGTTACATTGTCTCTTTAATTCAAAGAGCTCTGACAAGTTTTTGATTTTGAACTCAGCTTTTCTAGTTTAAGAAGGTTAAACTTACATTTATTCACTGTCTTGACAACTTAAACATTTTTGTCACATTGACTCAACTTGCCTTAGCAAGTTATCAGTTGAAAAAAGAAACAAAAGAAAAAGGCGGGAGTGCAGGTTTGAGAGCTACGGAAAAAAACGTATGCTTCCACATTTGAGTTTTTAAAAAAAAACCTCCTCCCTAAACTGAATGCAATGTTTAAGCATGGATGTAATCAACTATATCCTAAAGATGTCATGTTTTAATTCGGACTAAAGTAAAGACACATTTTTGATCTAAATGAGAGGACTACTGCCGCTGGCGGAGGAACTCTGTGAACCTGCAGCGGTGATCCAACGGAGGCGGAGTGATACGTTAACTTACAGTCTGAAACACCGGCTAGGACCGTTACGGTTACGGAGGGCATTTTATTTCTGCTGCAAGACAGTAACTGAGGTAAGTTTTAATGATTTTAAAACCTTTAATTCTTTGCCTGCTACTACTACGGGTTGAAAAAATAAAGAGTGAAATTATCTGTGGACGTTGTGCTTACTAATATTGATAGAAAGCTAAACATATTAAAGTGTAAGCAAATGGGTTTGTTTTTAACTGTTAATATTTGTTTTTAATTATGAGCTACTAAAGTTCTTAATTTACTTCGACATTTAGGTTTGCTTTGACAATTAAGTGGTACGTTTGCTAGCTTAAATTGCCATACAATGTTCGCTGTCCGCTAGCTACACAGTCAGGGATAAGGGAGCGATACTGTGTCACTTTTAATGGCTGTGCGTGCACTTTGGGTTTAATATTGACCAGTAAAAAATACAATTTATTATGAACTGTATACATTTAAAGACGTGTAATCATGTGGTGCATGCTGCAGACCCTGGAGGTAACTAACATTTTTGGAGGGAGATCTACCTTGTCTCCTTTTTTTCCTCCGCTCTGCGTTTGTGTATGTGTGGGGGGGGCAGAGGAGACACGGAGACGACATTTGTGTTGGGTTTTCGTGGGTCTGATATTAAAACTATTACTTTATAAGTTTAAGTATCATACCAAAATGTCATGAGAGTAGCTTAGCTTTTTCGGGAATAGTGCGGTGCGTAATGTACGTAGTGTGTGGGGCGTAGGATAGAGAGAGGGGTAGCAGCAGCTACGCGGGAAGTCAGGGGGTGTTGGGGGACTAGTGGAGCCTCACAGCGGCGAAACTGTGGCGCGCTGTGCGCCGCGTTTGCGCTTCAGATGAGGCTCCCTCCGCAAAATGAGCCACATTTTGCCTCACCTCAGCCTGCCTCACAGTCTGCGTGATCTGCGTGTAGGGAGGGGCGGCCCTGTATAATAACGTAATATTAAAAACATAACAAACAGTGACATCTTTGACCGCTCTGCTGCATGAAACTCGCTACTGCTGTGGTATGATTTGAAGAGATAGGGGGCAACTGCTTTTACAAATGTAACCTGAACACTGGAACGTACATTTGAATCACCCCAAGCATAATTGTCTTTATTGTAATTTTTTTTAGCCATTTTTTTCATCTCTGCTGATATGAAAACATAAATGCTTATACCAATATATTTGTGGAAGGTCAATATCAAGGTAAATAACGTGCATTTATTTTTGTTTTACAGGTGTGAACGAGCATGTCCAGTTCATGAAGTGGAAATGTAAGTTTTGTACATTCTCCTCCAATTGGCAAGGAAGAATAATTCAGCATTATAAACAGCGTCATGGACATCATCGAAAGTGTTCAGGCCTTGTCTGTATTTATGAAGACTGTTTGAAAAGCTTTCAAACCCAAGCTTTACTTAAAAAACATTTGAAAGAACATGTTAAAGAAGCTAACAAATGTGTGTCAAATTCAAGTCGAGTATACTATCAACCTTTACTGCTTGTAGGTAACTGTGCTACCTACAAGCAAAAATCTCTGACCACAGACTTTGCTATTGGAAATATTTCCTGGTACAAGATTACGTCCCAAGCATCGTTATCTTGAACATTATCCTGTACTGATCAAGACATTTGGTCCACCAATTGAGTTCTGGACAATAAGATTTGAGGCCAAACATTCTTTCTTTAAACAGGTGGTTCGCAATACTGGCAACTTCAAAAATATTCTGCACACTTTAGCCACAAGACATCAGCTGATGTTGGCATATTATTTGGAGATGCCAACAATTTTCAAACCAAGCATTGAGACTGGGAAATCATCAGTCGTATCTGTGGACATCTTAGATGTTGCTATCAGAGAGGCCTTAAGGAGTAAGTTTCAAGATCTGAACTCTGTTTCTCTCACCTCCACTGTTTACTTAAATGGGACAAAATATTCGAAAGGAATGGTGCTCTCAGTTGGACAGACAAGTGGACTGCCAGATTTTGGGAGAGTACTCGATATCTGTGTAGTGGATTGCTGCATATCATTCATTATGGAACTATTCACAGCAGCCTTCGTGATTCATCTCGGGTGTTTCCAGCTTGCCAGAAGAGACCCTGCAGTGACTGTGGTTGTCGAGCCTGACAATCTGAATGACTACACCCCTCTTGCTGCATACCTTGTGGAAGGAAAGCTGCTTGTCACTCCAAGGACATTCATGTTAGATTAAGGTAAAGTTGGACAGGGAAGTGTTTTTTTAGTGTCTTCCGTACATTTTATTACGTGCAACTTATTTTCAATTCACTTCCAGTGTTTATTTCCTGATGATAAAGTGTTTTCTATATTGTTCACTGTGTTTCAGCTGATGCAGACACCTCAATGATGCTTCTCCGAGTTATCCTCTCACCTTAAGATATAAGGCGTGTCACCCTAGAAGATGTTCCCTCATCAGTTGATGATCTGTGTGCAAAACTGCGCAACACTCTTGGTCTCCGAGGGAACTTCATTTTACAGTTTGAAGATTCAAACTTTGTGCTCTTATTTTTCTCTCACTCATGTAATTTCTCTGTTTGTTTCTTTTGTTTGTTTTAGCTATGTGCCGAGTTCAGCAGAATTGTCACCAAAGACCTGCTGAAATCTATCCTGGAAGGACTAGATGCCATGGTTCCAAGTCTGTTGGAGGCTTACAAAGCTGCTGTAGCATCTGGAAGAAGGTTGGCCATGAGTGGTGTTCTGCAGTGTCTTCAGAAAGAGGCAAGTATTTTACAGAGAAACTTACCAAAAATGTGCAAAGATACGGATTCTAGCTTGGCTATCATATTGACCTACCCTTGTCTGTTTTCCCCCTGGAAACCAGAACAGAAGAACGGCTGCCCTACTCGGTCTTCCAATATTTATTGCAGAGGATTCCTCCAACGTTATCAGGATGTGTGATGTAAGTCACTATATTACTATATATTATACATTTACTTTTCTCTCGCTTAATTTGAGGTTTTGCCATAGCCAATATAATGCTCATTGTTACAATATTGTGTATTGTTTAAGTATTACTATTGTTAATTTAGGAATTGCAATAAATACTAAAAAAATGATGACCTTGCAATTTGTCGTGTTTTTATTTCAAGTTTGGAACAGTCAATTAAGATGTATGTGTCTTTGTTATTAGGCTCATGGAAACCCTCGATGTGATCCTGAAAGGAATGCAGGTTGGACTGTTGATTGGACATGAAGGCCCTCTGCTTGACTCATTTCCTCTGGAAGTCTTCAATGTGGCTGTGGTGGTAGAAGAGAAGATCATCCTACATGACCTCCGAGATGTGCCCACAGGCTTCGCCATGTTAATGGGGGCAATCTACTGCCTCAACCTCGAGTACCCCCGCAGCATGAAATACTCTTTTGAGTGCCTTCAAAAGGTCATCATGACCATCAAACCAGACCAGTGCTCCGCAAGAATCCATGGACTCAGAAATAAACTGCTGAGATATCACCTCTAAACAAATGACTGTGTCATAGCTCCTGCAAGAAGGGAGTTTCTGTTTTGGATATATTGTTCTTGTTTTCAGCAGTGTAGTTTGTACATTTTTGACAGCAAACCATAGATCTTACTCTACATATCTCCATCTCGGCTTCAGTGTACCCAAGCAAACATTTAAAAATGCCCAGGTCACGCAGTCAGTGTCAGAGATGAGAAAAAGTGTGTCGTATGACCAGTGTCCTTGGCGCCAGCTGTCATCCTCTGTTGATGTGTGTTTTAAAAGTAGTGTGATTTCAGTGCATTCTGCCGTTTTATCAGCATGAAAGGGAGGAAGGCCTTTTTTCAATGACAGACGTTACTGCCTTGATGCTGTTCAAAACTCTTCTATTCTTACTTTCATTATATCTTCCTTTGAAATGCATGTGCTTTGGATCAGCTATCACATTTCACCCCTTGGTAAAACGGTGGTAGATTGTTGAATCTAGTGCAGAACTGTGTCCTTGTTAACACAGTTATCTCCAACGTCATGAATAGTTAAAGAATAAGTTGTGTGTAGATTGTTTTCACCTTTACTTATTAATCACTCAAGCCATATATTAGCTAGATATGTTTGCATCTTTAAATTCCTGCAATGTCACACTGAGACCGTGTTCTTGACAGTGTGTCTTGTTTGGGTTTCATTTTTAAGTGAATATGTGTGCATACCTCAACGTTTCAGGTGTGTATGTTACTGCAGTGAGGCTATAGACCTGACTAACTCGGGTATGGTCAGCAGCATGGTCATGCAAGTTTATTGTATGGTTTCATTCTCTATTGCCAATTACATGTTGGGTATAAGTTGATGTATAACATGTTTTTTTTAAATAAATGTTATATATCTGAACAAATGCGCTGCAATAATTATTATTCATTTATGTAAACTTGCTATCCGAAGTCAATACAACTAATATATCTAAGTTGAAACAAATGCATTATTACAATCTTCCTAACTTGAAATGATGAGTTATATAAATGTAGAACTTGAAAGTGTGAGTTATTATAATACTGAAATGTGAGTTTATTTGACTAGGTAAATAAAGTTTTCTTGCACTAATAATGTAAGATTGGTAGTTGTTTCAACTCTAAGTATAAAGTTAAATCAACTTAGACAACTTAAAAAACAATGTTAATACAACTAGAACCTTTAAGTCATATCAACGAGATTGAATTGCATTAATGAGTTGAAACAAAGATTGTCTTCAAGTTGACTTGATTTGCTTTTTCAAGGCAGCAGGTGGACTTTCATTTGCAAGTTGAACTGACATGAACTGTTTTACAGTGCAGGCATGTGTCCCCCGCGCACGAGCACGCGAACATTTTCGGGTTTCTGGCGGATTTAGTTACTTTTTTTTGTTACTTTATTTAGGGGTTAGGGTTATGTTATTTAATTATTTTGGGGGAGCCAGCCCCCTAGGGTTCGAGGGGTCAAACACCCCCAAAATGCATAGAAAACTATGCATACATATAACACAATACAAACACAATGGTCCAGCTGCATTAGGCTACTACATCTCATTGTACATCAGCATCTTCAAATCGGATAGGTGGGCACTAGGGACATCTGGGCACCTCGATGTACATTTGGCTATTTTGTCCAAAATGTTAAAAAATAAATATTTGAAAAATGGTATTAAGTAATGCAAAGTATACAGCATGTAAACATGCACGGTACATCATTATTAGACTTAATGTTATCCTTCAACCAACCATTTTCCCAGCATTTTCCCATCAATCAGCTGACACACACACACACACGCAGAAGACCCGACAGATCTCCACTCACGGGCTTTACCCAACTGTGTTTTTCTTCCACTGTTTGTTGTAAGACATAAGTATTTTCTTTTTAGAAGGGCCAGGGCCCAGAACCACATCCTCTCTCTCTTCTCCTCTTTCATCATCACCTCCTCCATCGGCAGTGCTCATTTTCCCACACGACCACACAAACAGTGATGCCGCTCCCGCGGCCCACCGGAGAAAATCTCACACACCCACGTGCGAGCATTGTGCCTGCCCTGTCAACTGAGCAGTCCTAGTGCCCTTCGGATACAGCACACAAACACACAGGCACGCAGCCAGACACACTGCATTGCGCGCAAACAGAAACATATTTTTTATTTTTCCCTTTACACGGGAATCCGGGACAAACAAAGTCCCGTACGGGACACGCCCCTATTGGCTCAAATACGACGTCCCGGCTAATACGGGACGGTTGGCAACCCTACTGCAGACTAGAGTTGATTATCGATTACAAAAACATTTATTCAAGGCCGCTGCGGCACTTCCGTAACGTTACCTCCTGTCGAATGATTGGAAAGAGGAACGGTTTTCCCCCTGAGTCAGTGTGAATGAAGCCTAACAATTGTTAGAAATTAAAATCAATGTTTTATGGCATAATGTACCTTAAACATACCGACAGTTTAAATGCTATTTTATTCTGGAAAAAACCGGAAGTTCTCCATACCAAGCTTTTATTCTGAAAATCCTTCATGACGACATCCGGGACTACCGCCCATTAGTATCATTAAAGTGGCTATTGACGCCGTTAACATGTATTACATATAAAGTTATGAAAGAGATGAGGAGAAAAGGCATGTGGAAGTAAGCAATGAATGTAAAATGTCGAAATCCTCTGTTTAACGCGATATCGGACACAGACGAACGAGAGGGGGAAGTCCCTTACGTCACTACAGCTCACAGAGAGGAGGAGCGAACAGCGAGGAAGCGGGAAGGACGAATGCTTGTACGCTCTCTTCTGCACGGCCGGCAACTGGATAGGATGCTGCAGACTTTCTCTCCAACGGACAAATATCCTGTTTGTGACTTTACCGCGCCTTTTTTATTAATTAAAGTACCAATTTGAAAACATCTCAGAGACTCCATTTAGTCTCCTTTTTAAGCTTCTCTTTCCTGGACGCGAGAATAACCATCACAGTTAACAATTGGAATGACCCCGACGTGATTCTCGTTGCACCGGGAGAGACCATACACGCGGCTGTTCTCCGGAGCCGCTGGCAAACCCGTTCGACACACAGAGAGCTCAAACTACGGTAAAGAAGAAGCCTGTTACGTCAAAATTCTTCAATAGTTTATGCAGAACAATCTTAGGACTGTGTGTTGGACGGCTGCTTCCGGTTCCTGAAAATAGCTGGGAAATTAATGTTAAAACAACCAAATCCATCCATCCATCCATCTTCTCCCGCTTATCCGTGGTCGGGTCGCGGGGGTAGCAGTTCCAGCAGAGAGCCCCAAACTTTCTTTTCCCTGGCGACATCAACCAGCTCTGACTGGGGGATCCCAAGGCGCTCCCAGGCCAGCGAAGAGATATAATCCCTCCACCTGGTCCTAGGTCTACCCCTTGGTCTCTTCCCAGCTGGACGTGCCTGGAACACCTCCCTAGGGAGGCGCCCAGGTGGCATCCTAACTAGGTGCCCGAACCACCTCAACTGGCTCCTTTCGACGCGAAGGAGGAGCGGCTCAACTCCGAGTCCCTCCCTGATGACCGAACTTCTCACCTTATCCCTAAGGGAGACACCAGCCACCCTGCGGAGAAAACCCATCTCGGCCGCTTGTATCCGCGATCTCGTTCTTTCGGTCATGACCCATCCTTCATGACCATAGGTGAGGGTAGGAACGAAAATGGCCCGGAAGACCGAGAGCTTTGCCTTCTGGCTCAGCTCCCTTTTCGTCAC